ATATTAATTTAAAATTTTCACCGTGATGTGTTAAAAACCAAAGTCATTATCGTTAAAAATGTATAGAAAAAAATATGAAGGAAAATGAAAAAAATTGTGGACAAAAAAACTATATTATATTCTATTCTCCATGGAAAATTAGTTCAAACAGTCTGGCGTATCTTTAGTCCGATTGTTCGCCTCTGCCTAACCTATCATCATTGTTTAACACAAAAAATTGTATTTTTACAGACAGGTAAAAAATACAGGTGGCCTAAAAAAATAAAAAACAAATAAGAGTTTATCGTCTTTTGATCACCTATGATCGTAAACATCACGGTCTTCAATATTTCACGATGCAGTGTGGCCAGAATGAAAAACCCAACATCCGAGTGGAAAGGAAAAAAAACGATTGTCGATCGCCATTTATACCATTTGCGAGCAAAGATTGTACCTATTTACATTTTTAGATGGGGCACTGTTTGGCGCTTTTTCATAATAAGAATATGTTTTATTTTTAATTTGTAAAACATACCTGAATTTTGAGATCCCTACGTTCTACACACTATCTTTGCGAACTTGGTACTAGAACATTCGCATACATCGATTTAATACATCCAACGATTTATTTGTTAAAAATTCTCAACAAAAAGTTGCGCTCACAACTGACAGCGAAAAATTTCAACTCGGCCGCCTGTCGAAAATAAAGCCCAAAAAATTTTAAAAGTTGTCCAACAATATACAACAATTTACTGACAAATTTGTTAGATGGGTTAGATCGATATTCTGCTAATGTTATCAAGCTTACAAGGGTGTACACACCTTTTTTCTTAAGTACATTTTGTGATATAAAGCACGCTATTTCAGGTACTACTGAACAAATGTGATTACATTCGCTCTTGAACGGGAACAACTATTTTACAATATATTTTAAGATAACAATGCTCCCTTGAAACTTGGCGCTAGGACCGATGTTACCCCACAAAATAAATACCTTTCGTCGCACGACGTTTACGAGCGAAATTATTTTCGACGTACATTTTCAGATTTCTGGCGTAATTTTCTAGGCGCGCTGTATAATACAAAGCGAACTCAATCAAAAGGGAATGGGACGTGGGATCCACCATAGTACCCACCTATATATAGTTGACATCACGTATAATTTATGATTATGCGCACGTGGTATAAATATCAAACGAGACCTGCGATATATTCTGGTAAGTAAACTAGAAAATGAACAACAAATGAAACAAAACCAAACAGATTCTTGATTAAAATAAAAAAAAAAACGAGAACCGTTGTAATTATAGCACGCAATAAGTGTTTGTATGTTAAGTGCGATCAAATTTGTTGTCCGATCAAACATTCGATTTTTCGGGAGTTGCGATTTTCAAAAACAATTTTCGGACAAGAGTTTAGAATAATAATTCGAAGATCTCGGAAAATCAACAGAAATAATAGGATATCTCAATAGGACTTCAATCGGAATATAATACATTTTGTAAATGTTTGATTTTTGAAAGTAGTTTTTTGTTCCTTCTGAACAGATGTATGAATTGGAGATATTGATATTGTTTTCTATTGTTATTCTGAGGTATTCCGTCATAATTATAGAAATGCAATGTATATACGTCACGCGTCGTAGGATCACGTATTCGTAGTTATAAGGAAACTTATAAAATCTTAACTACGTGTTACGTAGAATTTGTTAAAAAAATTAATAATAGTAATAAGGAGGGTTGGTGTTAATCCCATCCTCCTTCTATCTACAATACGTTGAAAAAGCTTTTTTGTAGTAGAATATTACTGTACAAATAACTAACAATATATTTATTCGATGTTCGATTTTTCATTATTTTAACTTTGGAAATTTGTTTTAATCCATATATAGACTTATAATTACTTTTGGTAATATTTTTGGTCGTTTATAAGTACCTATGTTTCTCTAACCATAGAGAAAAATCTTCAAATATGAAATGTGCATTTTTGCTGCGAAATAGGTTAAACAGTAACAACTCGATATTATACATTCGTTAGTTATAAACTCAATAAATATGACCATAAACCAAATACGAATATTCTAATGTTTTTCAAACGATTTAAAAAAAAATCTGATGGCGGAACAATACTGTAATCATTAACGAATACATGCAATGAGTCTTAAACAATCTAACCGTGATTTTATATAACTTAACCCACTGACTTATACCTATCGTACCTACCAAAACGGGTTTGGTCCTGCTTTGATCCTATGCTTTATTTTATCTCTATTTTAATTAAAATCTTAATAATAAAATATCGCTACTGACCTGTAGGTGTGGGCGTCAACTGTTTCATGTCGATTATGTGATGTATATCATAGTTTTTGAATATATTGTTCTTGTGCTGTTTGAAACTGCGCTGCAGCGCATGTATGGCTGATGAGAACTCTTTGGTGTAGATTCGGGTGTCGAATGACTTGTACGGCAACACCAGACCGACGGTGAGGTTCTGGTGTTGTAACCGACGGGCCATGATTCGGGGTACGAGCTGCTGCCGGCGGAACCGCTCGGTGCTGGTGGTCGTGGCTGCCGGCGTAGTAGATAACTGCACCGGTTCCTTGAGCCGGTTCTTCAGCCCGCCAAGCTTGATGGAACTTTGGCCCCGGCCGGTGCCAAATACCGTGTTCGTCACGTCCACTGGCCGACTGTTGATTTGTATTCTCGACCCGTTCCTGGGCGTCCAGCCGAGGGTAGCCGTCACCGTAACGGTGATTAGCGTCAACATAAGCAGCGACCACCGGCATGGTGGACCCGGCCGTCCGCCGCGGCCGCCCATTGTCGTGTTAGACGCCGTGCCGCGTCTAATTGCACGCAATCATGGAAATCACACGTTCTGAAATCGCAAGAGAAAAATAAGTTAGGTTAGGACGAATACAGCTGAATTTTGTTCACTTGACAGAATTGGCCACGCATCCACGACTATAATAGAATGATAATTTTATTCGGGAAGCTTATGCAAATTACTCGGGTAAACAAACGAGTGAATCTTTTTGACGAGGTAAGCGGGAACTCGCGATAAAAAATAAATTCGTCGCCGTACAAGTATTTTGAATTTTTCCCTTACAATTAACCCAACGACACGCAAAAAAGGGAATTCGCGCTATAGATTTATAGCGTGTATTAGCATTTTATATTATTTTATCGTTTCTTCAGTGGTTTTGTTTCCGAGGAATTTTCTAACATTATTATAATATAGAACTTATTAGAATGGATAAATAACCTATACTAATAACCTATGGACCGTATCCCTACTATAGTCACCTCATGTTATATTGTTCGAAAATAGTATTTCAATTATTATTATTTAATCCGTCTACATTACTTTATTTACTTGGCGGTAAGCCATTAAAAAATATTAATACCATTCCATAATGTTTTTAAGACTTTAAAATTCAAACTATATGTAGGCTGTCTTGTAATGTATTTATGGTTTAATTTTGAATTGTTTTCAATAACCGTAGATAGACTAGATCGAACGTGAATAGAAAAATAGCTAAATATGGATATAGATGGTAACTCTACCCGATGTAAATCGTGTATACGGTTTTGATAAACCATTGATAGATATTAATATTGTCTGTATTAGACGAAATACATGGCGATTTTCGAATTAAAACACGTGACTTTTTATCGCTTCATAAAAGTCATATAGTTTCGATTTTTGATAAATAACAAATTACCGATACGTTTTATTTCACCATCAAATATTTATATCGATATTTAATAATGTTTTTGTCAGTGACATGTTTTGAATTTTCAAAATCCTGAAAATCCATTTTTGCCCAGGAAAAAAATATATCATATTTGAAATCTGTAATATATAAATGGACGTCTGTCTGTCCGCATGTGATTAATATTAATCTATATAGACTCAAAAACAACTAAAGCAAATGTTACACGGTTTTTTTTGCAAAATGTCCCACGTTATCTGAAAAAAGTACATTGCTATTGAAATCCCTATTGGATACCATTCCTTAAAATTTTAAGTTTTTAGGTATTTTCAGTACAAAAATCTAGTTATTTTTATTGATGTATGTGTCACTTTGGTAAAAAAAAATGTTATTAATTGTTATAGTGCAACCCCTGTGGTGCTTTGGTGTGTGGGTATCTACGGTGATATTATTACTACACAAATTCATGGATTCTCAATAGAAGATGGAATGCGAATGAATATGCTGTCCAAAAAGGCAAAAAAAAACCCAACGACAAATATTATTATTATATTATCCATATTAACTATGGAATATTTTAAATTAAGACGTTTAAAATGAATACAATTATGTACAAACTATAAGATTACATATGATAATCATAAAAATGAGCTGGTAAATGTTTTGTATATTTTAACTTATATTATTATGTTTTTAATGATTGATTTTTAATATTTCTATATAATATGTTCCTTTGGAGACCGGAAAAGAGGGTGTGGGGCAAAATGCCCTGAGCTAATGTAAGGTATATTAAAAAATGTTAGGAATGCTCCTTTTTTAAAAGTAGCTTAAGTGTCTCTACTACTTTTTTCCCAAGTCAAACTTATCGTAATAACTAATAAGTGAAAATACGTAAAACGTCATCGATGTACGAGGTTTGGCTATTAAATAACGAGACTGCGCGCGCAGAGAGCGTCGCAAAACGGTTAGGGGAAAGCCAAATAAAGCGCTGGTTAGCTAGAAGTGTCTATTATGCCAGTACAAAATTGGGTTTTTGTTGGTGCATTAGTATTTTTTCTGTAGCGTTTAGAACGAACATGTTTTTTTCTCTTGCCGAAAACGATGTGTGACGAAAAACATGAGCAACGGATAAACGTAAAATTTTCTCGTTAAACTAAAAAAAAACTCCAACTGAGTGCTATAAGTTGTTAAAAGAGGCCTATAGTGAGGATTTCCTATCTCGGGCGCGTGTTTTTGAGTGGCATAAATTATTTTCTGAAGGTCGAGATTGCACCGGAATCCAATTCAGTCGTAATCCAAATTCAAAACCATGCTGATCGATTTCTTCGATATCAACGGCATCGTGATGACTGAATGGGTTCCACAGGGTCAAACTATGAACCAACATTACTATTTGACAGTTTTGCAACATTGCGCGAATAAGTTCGTAAGAAACGGTCGATATTGTGCACCAGGATAACGCACCTACCCATAACGCGCTGTCTGTGAAGCGTTATTTGGCCGCTTAAGGCACTCCAGTACTCGAACACGCGTCATACTCACCCGACTTGGCACCNTTTCCGAAGATAAAGTCTGCCTTAAAAGGAATCCGGTTTGAGTCGATGGAAGAGGTGAAACAAAAATCGGCGGAACTCCTGAATGGTCTTACGAAAACAGACTTCCAGCACTGCCTCGAGCAATGGAAGAAACGAATGAAACGGTGTGTGAAGAGGGGAGGAGAGTATATTGAAGGGAAACATTTGGTTGTGGAATAATTTTTAAAATAAAACCATTTTTCATAAGCAGTCTTGTTATTTAATAGCCAGACATCGTATCTTTGAATCTATGTATTTTTTGTCATTGTTACACTAACAACACTTCAGTTATATAAACAAATATGAAACACTAGAAATTATTTTTAAATGCCCCCCCCCCCCTAAAAAAAAATGAGATAGACAATAATATCTAATTTTCTAGAAAAAAAAATATCTAGGAGAACTTTGCCGGGTCAGCTAATATTTTGTATGATTGTATAAAGCGTCTATCTATAGGCTTAAATTAAATTAAAATTTTTAATTTATATCTATGTTTATAGCTAATTTATTATTCAATCTGCTCTAAAATTATCAATAAAATAAAATAATTAATTTTTTTAAACTATTAACTTGATAAAAACACATTTTTTATTTTTCTGAATAAATATTAAGACATTTAATATAAAATAATAAATTTAAAAAAATCAAAAGGCGAGATATACCACCCCGATCTTTATCTGTAAATACGCCACTTGTTTCCGTTCCTCGTCCGATTTTTAGTTTATGTTAAAACACCGAAATTGTCTGCAGTATGAATTACAGCCAGAATAACTTTATTCGGATCATTTTCGATCACCACGGGACATTTTTTTGTTCTTTTTGTTGTTTTATACCCACCAAAAAAAAAAAAAAAACAGACGACCCGTCTCGTTTCTCGTTATCTCATTAGCCGTGGCGGTGACCTGGTTAATTATTATGACGAATTAAAATATAATTTTGACTTTTTTGTGTCAACGATACTACACCTAGGTATCAAATAAACGTCCTTTCGCAAACTATCTTTCCAACCATCAATCATTTTTTCCTATATTCGACGTCACTCTTTCACACAAAAAAAAAAAAACTATAGTTTCATTTTACTAGCTTATGCTCCCTATTATTACTACCGGGGCAATTCATCTGTTATATTATTGGATATATGGTTCCAACAACTTTTTAAACGGATACAACTGTCGTAAATTGCAACTCGTTAAAGACATTTACCGTGTGAAGTCTATGCGAACACAAGAAATCGATAAACATATTTTACAAAAGTATTTTCGGGTGTTAAGGTAGTTTGCAAAATATCTCAAATTGGAATTTACTGTAAAAAATTGAGTACTATATCTTTAAGGATATTATAGTGTTTTAATAGATATATTATAGGATTTTAAAAAATAAACCACAGCGATTATCTGAGATATACCATATAAAAAACCGCGTGTTTATCATCACTCAAGTTTCTTCGTTTACTTTTTAATGAATGAAACATCGGATTGATTATTTATTATGCAAATTATCAATTCTATCGGATAAATCTATAGGCGATTAAATTGGCCATAGGATGTACTTATCCAAATTTTGAGGAAAATCGAAATATATCGGATTTCTTGTTTGATTGACTATCGAGTATAATGAGAAACACACAAAATAAAGAATTTTATCAAATTTATATCTTTATGTAACAATAAACCGTTGCTAATGAAAAATGATTCAGAGCACTCATATGAGTCGTATTTTTTTCTTGTTGTCTGTAACTCAGATATTAAAAAATATTATACAAACAATTAAAATGTTTACCCGCTTATGAAGAAAACTACAAAAAAAATCAAACAATTTCTCCTCTGAATCAAAAATTATACAATAAAGTTTATATAAAGTTTTTGATCAAAGCAATATTTGTTTGCACATACAAAAAACACATTCTACTAAAAACAATCAATACATTCCTGACTTTAATCAGAATCTAAACTAGTTTTACAAAAACGCAAAAAAAAAATGCTTGAGGCAATGCAACTTAATAGAGAAATTCTCGGTCATTATTTATACAAACAACTATACTTAATGCCTTTATTGTCTGTACGTAATTATCGTAAATAATACTTGAATTTATTGCGTTTAAAATACACGAGCAATGCCACGTGGCAGTTTTATTACGAACCACTTACATTATAGTAGATGAGTGACACTATAGAAAATGGGTAATTAAATAAATAATCACGCAATGAGATCACATTAAAACTGCACTTTCAATCTTTATCATTGTTATTATGGAGTTAACGATAACGGATGGGTAAATATTTTAAAGTTCTTCAACAAAAATAATTTTGCTATGGACTATGTGAATATACCGGGAGAGACTAAAACGCACTACTACAAAAAGTATTGAAACAGAGCTCAGTGATAGGGAAACGACTTTTGGTATATCCACGTAGTTTTTAAGTTACCAGACGACCGAAACAAGGGATTTTAAGATGAATAAAAAGACAGTTGGGTGAATTTTGATTTTAAGATGAGATGATCCTAGAAGCCAAATAACTTATTCCCGTTTTTTGAGACTAAAAAGATGTGTATTAAAAAAAAATATATTTATAAATAGGAAATTTTAGACTAGGATTTAATGGATAAATCTATACAGTACTAAATTTTATGAATATTTTTTTCTTGTAGTTTAATTTGAATTAGAATTAAGGTTAGGTTAGGTTAGGTTAAAACCGGAGATATAATAATAATGTAATGAACACAAGAGTGCATTATCAAAGACATGTAATTATTGAGAAATAATTATCGTCTCCTATTACCGCAGTTAGATTAATTACTATTAAGTGCAACGACCGTGCGACAATTGCATTCGCGAATAAAATATATTAATAATGCTAAAGTTTATTAATGCTACAAAGCTTGATCTCGTAATAATGTACCTGATGCCGTGTGTGGTGGTGCCATTCAATATAAATAATTCGACACTCAAGTGTGGCCATCCGTAACGTTATTTTTTTTTCGCACGGTTTTTTATTATAACTCGAAAGACGGTTTTAGTAATTTGAATATTTAAATCCAGTTATGCGAAAAAAACGGGAATAATATTGAAAAAGATACATATAGCAAGTAGAAAAAAAATAGTATAACAGTTACGAATAAAGTCGAAGGATGATGTGACAGGTGTCTTGGGTGATAATATAATATGCCGTTTTTTGACAAAAAGATATATATATATATATAATACATAAAAACTGTAGTGAATAATATTATAAAGAACTGAGCGTTGGAATAAACGAGACAAAAAGGAAATGAAGTATAAAATGGAAACATGAACGTTCAGATGGATATTTTGAAATTACTCGGATTATATTCCGACGAGAAATAAACATATTGGAAAGAGTTCGAGTTATATATTGGCATGTATTAATACGTACATAACGAATAAATGATAAAAAAAAAAAAAAAATACGATTCCAAGCATCGGATTTAAAAATGGTTTACTAAATTTAAATTTAAATTTTTTTTCCTATACGAAAAAACGTATGCTAGTATTTCGTTATTTTTATTAGTTTCGTGAATAAGTGACGACTTTTTATTAGAAATTACACTGAGTCTAATGTATTTAGAATGTGCTTTATCGTATATATATAACAAATCCGTTTAAAATATCCTGACTCCACAATTATTTCTCACTAAATTACGAAAAAATACCAATTTAATTTAAAAAAAAAAAAACAGACATCACTTAAAATACATTCAAGTTTTTCAGATTTTGTTTTCGCGGTTTTTTTCTTATAATTGAATAAAATACAAAAAGTATCAGACAATTATCTTCCCATTTGCTTAGACCAATAACAATTCCGATAGAGATGTTCAAAACTAAGAAAACACTCTCCTTCCGGAAAAACACGGTGAATGTCATAATGAAATTCAACACAACTTGTTCTATCTGTTTGTCATTTAGTCTACACAGATCGCGGAGCAGCAAAAAGTATCCAAAAGTGCGAAAATAAGATAAATAAATTGTCTATAAAATGTGTCCAACCCATTTCAGTGACGCATCGATTTATAATATTTATTCATTTATATATAATAAGTATAGGCATGCGTTGAATATTATAATGTTAAGCAAATGATTAATATTTAATAACAATACATGTTACCGTTTTGGGTTTCTCGTTCTCCCGTTACAAAAATTATTACGTATACAATAATCCGGAACGACAATTTTGATCTCCAAAATGAGAATTTAATACTCGTCACGCCGTCGTCATATTAATTATTATTATTTTGATCTAATCAAGGCATCGTCAGAATAGATTATTATTATTTCGTCTCTGTGTCTCGTGCTTTATTGTATTAATTTTTACATGGTTGGTGCGTTGGTTTCGTTTAGATATTATCATAATATAATCCCACTATGTACAGTTCATGCAAATATCATACATATTACTTTTTTTTTTTTTTTGTCATGAAAATACTCAGTGTATATTACTGGATTATTCATGTTATTACTGGTAATATGCTAATAAGTACAAATATTATATTATATACAAGCTCCTATTTCAGTTTTTTTTTTTTTTTTTTTTTTCATAAAAACCTAATAAACCTGTAAAACACACATAGTGTAAGTACATGTTGTATAATATTATTCGAATATTAATACTTACTACGAAAAATATTTTCACTGAGATGTTAAACAATTTTAATTTAAGAAAATTGTTTGCATTATTTTATTTATTTATTTTTTTTTTGGTTTACAGCATTATTATATTTGACATATCAAAAAATACATAATAATTATATTATGATAAAAAAAATGCTAACACTATTCGTGTATGAAATCGTTAAAATGTTAACAAAAGTTAATATTAATGAAATAAATCGATATTTTAACGTGTTATATGTGTAAAACGTAAATAAATAACATAATTATGGATCTATATTGTACATTATATGCCATGTCTGTTTATCTGTGAAAACTGCAGTCACTCGTAGATTTCGCAAGTGTAATATATTTTATATTAATTCACTTGTTTGTCATTGTAGTTGTCATATAAAATAAAATGAAAACAAAAGACCGTTTGTTTAAAATGTGGTCAACCCATTGTTATCAGTTCAGAACACTGAAAATATAGTGGTCTTACTTAGTAATTTCCCATCCAGGTCTTTATTATCTATTACGTAAATAAACAGGCATAAAATTAACAAATTAAACA